ACGACCCCACCACCCCCACACAGATATAAAGAGCTTAATTATTATTTGCATAGAAAAGGTGACACAATATACATAAACACATGCAGGAATAATTTTTAAACAACCTTGGCTGTAAAGCAACAAACATTTTCATAATCTTAAAAACTGACAACAATCTAAATAATGTTGCTTTAATAATGAGAGCACCAACAGATGAGTATAGAAACAGGTTCTTTCTTGGAAAACAGAAGGAAGAATCTCCAAGAGTTCTTACATTTAAACTTCAAGTCAGATATTCCAATAAACATATTTAGAACCTAATTTTAAAAAATTTTTCATCTGAACTGTCCACAAAATTAGTTCAGGACTTCACCCAGTTTGCACTATTATGACACTTGTAATGATTTGATTCATATGGGCACATGGCTGAGTGGTTAGAATGTTCACTTTCTGACCAGGAGATCCCGGGTTCAAATCTAACTAGGAGCAATTTGTCAAGAAGGTGATTTCATGATGTTATTGGTCAGGAGCAAGCGATCCTAGCATGTGGCATCTTTGGAAAGTACCTGAAAACCATACCTCGGGTTGACCCATGCTTTGAGAGCGAAACTGGATAGACAGAATCCTTGGAAGCTGTCAGTGGTTGTGCTAGCACGAAGTCACAAGTCATCGTGACAGAGGGTTTGAGCATGCTGGTCTTGTTCAGACTGTTGATCATGCTAGATAACACACTCTCTCCCAGAAACTGTAAATAAGGTCTACTCAGCATAGTTGCAGTATAAACCACAGGTGGGCTCTGCGGGCATTGAACAGACACAAAATGTGCCTGAGCAGGCGTCTACAATGGGGATTAACCACCCTCATAGACTGGCATCATCGGATACGAGTGGCTGAGCCATTTAAAATGATTTGATTATCTGTATCTTGATTTTTCAGTCTTTGATTATCTGGTCACAAAACAAAGAGAAAGATATGCTAAACACTTTTCAATTATCCAAATATATAAATAATATTTAAATAATATTTCATTTCAGAGAAGAGTTTTGAGAATTTAGGAAACCATTTACACTGTTGTCCTCATCTTTGTTGTTATATTCATGACATTGCACACTCCAACCTTCTTCAGGTGATTGGAATTTCAAACTGAACCCTTTATATTATCCACCAGAGTAGACTGTTCTAGTTTCACATGCCATGCCTTTTTTGGATGTCTCAGTTATGTCCCTTTTAATTCAACTCTCCAATTTTTTGTTCACCACTGCAGTAGCTGGGTACTGAACTCACAACTTTAGAAAATTTAAATTCCCCTCCAAAATAAATAGTAGATAATTATTTTTCGAAGAAGTAAGGCTTGCTATAGTTTTTACCTTGAAAATGATTAAATTAAATACGTTTAAATATATCTTAAGTTTATTTACTTTAATTAAATGTTTTTAAGTAAATAAAGTTTTACTTTTAAACATTAAAGACGTAAACATTTTTCTATTTTGAAAGAGATTAGAAGCAAGATACACTGAGAATTTAGTTTTGAAAATTGATTATGTTTAAATTTCAAGTTGTATTTAAAAAGAAAAAAAACTTTAGTCAAATAAAAATTAGGAGAGACAGACACGACTTATGGTCAACATTAGTCGTGTTGAATATTTGTTTTACCAATTTAACTATATTTTATTTAAATTAATTTAAAAAAAAAAAAAAGAAGGTTCGCTATAGTTTTTTGCTTTAATGAAACTTAATTTAACATTTTCCTTTTTATGTTAGTTAGAAACTAAAAAAACAAGGAAATTTATTTTTTTAAAGATTGAATACAAAAATTGTTTTCCATAAGATGCCCCAAAAATATTAGTAAGTCAATAATACACATACATACAGACAACTTCCCTTTAGGGTGATACTGAGTCTGTATATATTTTAATAAAAAAAAATATTCAACTTTTTCAAATAATTGTATTTAATATTATTCTTTTAAATTTACTTTGTTGTTTTAATATTCATTTTTTGAAGTTACACTTTTTATTTACTATAGATTTTAAAATTATTCCAAAAGAATAAAAATTTAAAAAATACATACATGTATAGCATTCCAAAAGTATCAGCAGAATTAAAAAGTAAAAATATTAAATCAGGAATAAGAATTATTACTGTTCATTTTTACTTTTTAATTCTGATAATTTTGAATGCATTCTAATGAATTTTAATTTTAAAATATCTTTGTAAATACATACCATATTTTTTTTTTTTTTTTTTTTTTTCCACAAAGAGCTAGCTTGGGGGATAACGAGTGTGTATATATATTTTGTCATTAATTATTATAGTATTTTAGTTTTAGCCAGACACATACACACACACAACTGCACTTTATATATGTATAGATACCTCAATAAAAATGGCTGTGAATTCAGGGCAATTTTAGAGCCAGTAAAATTTAGTTTAGCTTTAAGATGTATAAAAATATATTTTCATAAGACTATTTTCATCATTAATATTATTATTATTTTTCGGAAAAAAAAATAAACAGTTATTATGTTTGCTATAAAAATGTAAATGAAAAGTAAATCCACAAGTCAAAGTTTTTTTCTGGAACTAATCATACTACAATCTTTCAGTTAAACTAGAAATTGGAAATTATTTCACAGTAGTATATGAGAAAGAAATTCAGCTTATATCACTAATTAATATATTAGCTATTGACGAATGAGTTGGAACTTAGAAAATGAGAAGTCAGCCAAAGATTTAATGTACCAACTCGACACTTATAAAAAAAAAGGAAATAAAAAGACTCTTAATCAATACAATTTTGAATGAAAAAATCCAATATTTATTAAGATATCCATCAAAAACACTGGCATTAACATACTTGCTCACCTCCTAAAAAAAAGCAGATTAATATTGTCACAATGTCTATTCATAATACATTGGTACTTTACAGACATTTACTGAGAGATCATTCTAATAAAATACTCCTACTACAATTATTTGTTGGTATCTTCTTCTTCAATGAAAACATTTTATTTTCTAATAATGTCATGTATGATTGCCAATACTTTCAGAATGGGCACATTTATACACATAAAAAAAATATTCAAAATTCTTTTAAAAATCTCAGTGTGAAGATAGGTTTTCAATTTTTGATTACTAAATATAATTTTCACTTTTTTTATGATGTCAACAAGCACTCGTTACCACTTATGTGATGCCAATAAATACCCATTGTCGCTTCTGTAATGCTCATTGTAGTAGAGATTTTGTAATCGCAGATACATCTATAGCAATGCCGTTGAACAATACTAATGTTAGATGCATTCAAATAACACTCACACTAATAGTACTCACTTGAATAATCTGTTTAGTGATCTGAATAGAGAAATAGTATAGTGAATAGAGTAGAGAATAGTGGTCCATATAGTAATAGAGGATAGACTAGAAATGCAGATCAATTAGATGTCATGCGACTTCCTACTTGTTTTCTCTATGGTCATGTAATCTACTTAATTTAATAATGTGATCACCTGTGTTTGTTCAATGGTGATTTATGTTCAAACTCAAGTATCAGCAGCAACACTTTATTCCTATATAATACACTTAATAACAATATCACCTTACGCAATCAAAGTAATGCAGAAATTTAAGATTTGAAATTTTATAAATCATTATAAGCAAAATTAAAAAAAAAATGAAAACAATTCTTGTAACTTCTTCATTATTCATCAAAAAAAATTTTTCTGGAGACAATAGTATCCTTAATCTATCTTATTGATAAAAGCAATTAAAAACTTTTCTAATTAAATGCCATATCTTTATTACATCATTTATTTAACTATTCGGAGCACATTTTCAGGAAATGCATAACTGTTTCAAAAAAATAAATAAATATTTGATTTTGTAAATATGATTTACATTGTCCAAGGAGTCTCGCTTTTAACTAATAAAAAACATTGTGATCAAAATTTAATTTCTCAAAATTTCATAAAACAAAAAAGAAAAACAAGATTTTTAACCAATATTTCAAATGTGCTTGAAAGGATTAAGAAATTTAATAAAGTAATAAAAAATTACTTTGGTCTTTCTCCTTAATAATAACAAATTGACTTAAAAATAACAGCAACAGTACTTATAATTTTTTTCTCTTTTTTATATCTTATTCAAATCACAATAACCATCAAATCACAGCAAAGAGAAAATTTAAATTTTATACTAACTTGCTTCAATATCAGCTCACTTCATATTTATAGAATTGTATTGTAATTAATTATAAATGCTAATTATAAATGCTAATTATTATTACTAATTATTATTGAAGTATCATCACTGGCATACTATATACTGACAAAGAGTGCAATCAGGTCAATGTTTATTTTTCTTGAGCATTTATTAAAAAAAAATTTAGAGAAAAATCACTGTAATTAGTGGTTAATAGATCTGAAGTTACTTCCCTTGGACTTTTTCCCTGGTCATTTCATACTTTAAAAAGTTACTCCAAAACTGCAGGCTCAACTGAACTGGAAATTGCATCATTCTCCAATTTAGAGTATTTCAAAGGTATTGTGCTAACAAAGAAACGACATAACAATCTATTGCTTTTGCTATAGTAACAAAAATCAAAATCATCTTAATCTAGTTAGACAAGTTGATCAACCAGTTTTCGGCACAGAAACTGGGATCAGCAAACTGAGATCAAAATCTTTTCAAAGTAGTTCCCTTCAAACTTAAGACAATTAACATGTAACCCATTACAATCTGCTGCAAGTTACTTTAAAGTGATGGACACCACCAATTGACACTCCACCCATGTCCAAACATTGCACAAGGTCACTAGATAAGCTGATTTGTTTATGATAAATTATACAGTAACATGGACACTAAGTAACCTGGCAACAAATGATTACGTAGCAAAATCATACCATGATGAGTTCAAATACGCAATATTATTAAAAGGTATTTTTAGCAAACACACACGAGAGAAAATTTTCTTAATGAAAGAAAAACAAGTATCTACATAAATAGATATAAGGATTACTTACCTCAAGGTTTACTTCATCGTCCGATACATCTGACCAGTTCCTTTTGACAGAGTTTACACCTGGTAAAGAAACAAATGGTGGAAACACTATCAATAAAGCATATGTACACAGAAGGACTGATTTTCTCAGCAAAATAACCCCAGCTTCAACATTTCCTGATAAACAAAAGCAGCAAAGCAAACCTGTTGCTTAGATCCCACTAACCTATAAATACATGAATTATTGAATTTTCTATCAAGAACAATATTTGCTAGCACAGAATCAATGTAGGCCACAAGTAATTTTAAATGAAAAGGTAGTGCATTGTTTCTTCTTGATATAAAACAAAACAGGAGACTGTTTTCTAATGCTCAAACAAATGGTTTCCAATTGATGTCAATGAGTACATCAATAAACACTTTTATGACAATGAAAGTTTCATTACAACTCTCTCTCTCTCTCTCTCTCTCTCTCTCTCTCTATTATATATATTTGAAAATTATAACATAAATATGTTATAAAATCAGTACAAAAATAGCCATTTTGTTTCAACACTTCTGGTGTCTTATCAAGTGATGGTCACTTGATAAGACACCAAAAGTGTTGAAACAAAATGGCTATTTTTGTACTGATTTTATAACATATTTATGTTATAATTTTCAAATAAATAATTATATTTGCTCTACTTTGTATTGAGCACTCTTTTAAGAATAGTATTTGTTGGTTATTGGAATTTATTCCGTATACACCAATCCTATACTTAGGTGTGTGTATATATTATAATAAATTAGTATAAAAACATTTTATATTGCTACAAAAAAACTTTCATGATTCAGTACTATGATGGTACTTCTTCAGACAATGGTAGATATACTACTTCTAATAATAAATGTACATTTTGTTACCAATTTTCATGTATATGACTTGTTAACATGCCTTAAACTCAGAGTTGTACCAAAATGTATATTTATTGTCAGTAGTATAAATTTCAGGTGTTATTTTTCAGTGTGCATTGTTTTATTACCACAAGCACTCACTGTACAAATATATATATATCATTCGTCCTCTGCATGCGGAGATGACCTTAACTTCAAATCATTGGAGGGTGGGGTAGGTGCAGAGATGACTAATATGATCTTCACCCTGAAAAGTCTATTGCAGTTGTGACATGGGATGATGGGGGCTGACCCAGGCTTGGAGGTAGAGCCCTCTTGATCTTTCCTTTTCTGGCATCTCTGTTCTTTGACCCTGATTTTTTTCTCCTCAAAATCAAACACTCCAGACTTTACAAGGGAACACAAGATGGCATAGTCCTCAGCACACTCTTCACAGGTGGAATGGAGAATGTCACAATGTTTGAGACTCCTTAAGCATATCTTTGTAATGTTTCAGTCTGGCAAACTTCTTCCAGGGGAGCAGAAGGCAGGCGGTCATCAGGGGATCATTGAGCCCCTTCAGGTGAGCCACCATATATATAATATTTTGTTAAAGACAACTGCCAAGGCTCTGTGATTAACCTTTTTTATTTAATTCAATAAAAAACTTAATCACAGCGCCATGTCAGTCATCTTTAACTAGACTTGTCTGAAAGCCAGATTGCTACCAAAATGCACAAATATATATAATTTACATTACAAGACCCTGAAATATGATCCCAATTTTTACCTTGGTATAGCATATACATGGATAGTAGAATTCTGATAATCATTTCAAAGTCTTTGGCTGCTGTATTGTGATATAGTAACATTCATTCCAGTGCACTGTTTATGTCCAAGCTTTAGAAAGTGATGCATGCAACAATAAGAATTCTTTAAAAGAGTTCCTTTAGTTCAATTCAAAGCTTTTGAGAAGTGTCAAATTGTGAGACATCAAAAGGGATGGATGATAATTTTGGACAATGGCTGCATATAACATGTCAGAGGTGTTTTCATGTTGACAAGTGTGGACAAATGACATCCATAGATCACTTCCTGGACAGTCATGTATTACAGGCATTCAACAAGATTGACACATTGTAAGAGCAGCAACTGTAAACTGCATAGCACCCACAGTACAGATCAGAGCAAATGTGGCCCCAGAATTGTCAATAGGAACTTTTGGGAATCATTTACTTACAACAGGATTACAAGAATGCATGTCTAGACATCCATTTACATGATATAGCAAGAAGGCGGTAACTGGGAGGAGAGGTTGAATGGTACGGTTTCAGGTTTTGTGATGAAAGCAGGTTTCACCTTCATGCAAGTGATGGTTGTTTCAACCAGCAACATATTAGCTTACGACATAACCATCCAACCACTGGCATTATGGCGTGGGGTGCCATAAATTAAAACTCACACTCGCCTTTGGAATATGTGTGGTAAGAACATCAAATCATGCCAATTGCCTCCAGAACATCATTCAACTGTCATTTCTACAAATGATAACTGCTTTGGCCAACACAGTTTCCAGAAGTATCCCCCACTGAACATGTACGCACAAAGTTAAAAATATAAAATGACAATAATTTACCCATCATACCATGTATGTACACATTATATATATATTTCTTAAGGACAGGGATCATAATTTATTATTAAAAATAATGATGATAAATTATGATCCCTGTCCTTAAGATTATTTTATCCTTGTGTGGCAACAACAACCTGTTTAAATAAATAAATAAATATATATATATATATATATATATATATTTATTTATATTCTAAAATTCTCTCTGGTAAGGTTTAATCTCCCTCCTTCTCTAGTCTGTTACCCCTCATACTTACACTCTCTAAATTCTGTTTTTATTTCCGAAGTTGTTTTTTCTGTTTACTTTTTGAATTTGTAGGTCTGATGAATTGGATCGTATTTACGATTCCAATGGAATAAATTATTACCATGGAATATTAGTGTTTAAGCCTTTTTATTATATCCTTACTCTGACCTGGACATTGAGTTCTACCTGGATTCTATCCTCTTGGAATATTTATTCAAAAAATATACATGTATGGGTATTTATATATTTTGCATATGTATGTATATTTACCACTAATATTATATATATAATATATATATATATATATATATATATATATATATATATATATATATATATATATATATATATATATATACACACACACACACACACGTGTGTGTGTGTGTGTGTGTGTGTTGATAGTCTTTATATTTTTTCAAATATTGAGGTCTCACACATGACTGTGTTGTCATATTTGTTCTTATAAAATATCGGTAACATTGTTCCAATTTGTTTTGGTTTGTTCTGTTTTATAGCATATCAACCTCAATGGGTTATTTAATGCCGACAAAATTTTTATTGTTGGTATTTTTTTTTTTTTTTTTTTTTAAAAAAAATCTATTTCTGGAAATTCTTTTTTTTTTCATTAAAAAACCTATTTCTGGTAATATTTTTTTCTTCAAATATATATCGCTGGTAACAATTTTTTTCAGAAAATGTACTTCTGGTAATATCTGACTTTTTTCCGTTTCCCCCACCCCAAAATGTATTGCTGGTAAAATCATTTTTTTCAAATTTATAAAATATTTCTGGTATTAAAACCCACCTTTACACTTTCATAGTGTTTTCACCCCAGTTTGGGGGTTAACTATTTACCCATAGTTGGAACCCTAACAGGTGTTACCACCCTGGATCAAAGTGAACCTGGGAACACCAGCAATTAAGAGGTGGTACCACGCTCCTCAAAACCTCCTGATCAGAGTCCTTGCTGTTGGACATAGTTTATCATCTTACCCAGGACACGGATGTAGTTTATCATCTTACCCAGGACACGGATGTAGTTTATCATCATACCCAGGACGGTAACATTGTTCCAGAATTACATGAAATTTTGTTGATGTTGGTTTGTTTGCTTGCTTTCATGATTAATACTTCTAATATTTGTAGGTTTTTGTTTTGTTTTACAGTTTTTGTGATATATTATTTTTTATATTATTGATAATAATTTATTGTGTATTTTTGGGTGTGTGTTGTTTGATGACATGTGATATAATTGATCCGTTATCTGATAAATGGCATGTAAATCAGTGTGATAATGTAGCGGTTACGTAATGATTGATTGATTTGGTTTTACGGCTTATCAACCTTTTCAAGTTATTTAAAGCCAGAAGATATTTTGTTTTAGATTTTAAGAATTTTTTTGAGATGATAACGATTTACAAGTCCTACTAATTAATCCATAGCTGGAAGGGGAGAAGAGGTGGATTCATAGCTTTCCCAAAGGTGTTTGTGCATAAATGAATATAACAAACCCAACTGGAATTTGAACTTGGCTCTCTGATCTCCAATTATTAGCTGTTATCTATTACTCCACCTGCACATCCAAGTTTGCAGCACCTGTTTCAGGAGAAAATACAGACAAAAACTGTCCAACATTTGGATATTTTTTTTTTTATTATTCTGTTCATTGATCTAAGCTTTCACATTTAACGTCTTGTTAACAGGACGTCATTTTTGATGGTGAACATCTCAGTTGTAATGTCCATATAACCATTCTGATGATGGTTCATGTGAGCTGAAAGCTTAGATCAAGGAACAGCATAATAAAAAAAAATCCACATTAGACAATTTTTGTATTTAGTTTCTCCCAAAACTAAAACCACTATACAAAGCTTAGAATGACTCATGATCAAACATAATAGATATTCATTGTCTATTATTTAACAATATATGTCTAAATAATGATCTGCTGCCCCAATACACACACACATTATATATATATATATATATATATATATATATATATATATATATAGAGAGAGAGAGAGAGAGAGATAGATAGTGTGTGAAATTTTATTAAAAAAGAAAAATCCTACAATACTAAATGGGTCTAACACAGACATAGATAAAAATAAATAAAAAAAAAACAAGCAGACAGACATTCTCCAAGTCTGGAAATTAGGAGATGACAAACTAGGGTAATTAATTTGATTTATGATACCCACTTATACTCAGAAATGCCAAAACATTTTCCTCACACCCAGTTTTGTTTTTCTTTCATATATAATTAACTATAACAGACAATGAATGTCTATTATGTTTGATCAGCTCACATGAGCC